GGAACTACATGATCCTTGAGGTCCCTTCCAACCCGGGTCATTCTATGATTCTATGATTCTATGATTTCTTTAAGGCCAATACAGGCTGGCGAAAGTACTCTTTAGCCCGCGTAGCTGTGGATTTGCTCTTCTAGCTCACTCCATGCGGCCCCACGCAACTGGTACAGGACAAAGCAGTTTTTATACAGTGAGTTTACAGAGTCTGCTAGGAGAGCAAGACCACAAATTTTTTTTTTTTTCAACTGTGTTTTAGGAAGAGGAGTAGTATAAACCCCACATCAAGCCTCAGCTACCAAGTCTTACAATAAAAGTGCTCCCTTTAATCTCAGAGGTTTGGGGGTCTCCATATCCCATACCTACCCCCAAATTCAAAGAAGCCACTTCTCTGTTCACTCCACCACCTGTGTGATGGTGCTGTGGGTCCAGCCCTCCTCCTCCCGCCAAACTTTGCTTTACCTGCAAGAAAGGACTCCTGGCCCTGCTGCCACAGGATTCCCACACACCATGGGACAAAAATAAGGCAAAAATCTCACACCAAGGGACTGGGTGGCAGAAAGAGGGGCTGGCTCACTCTCATTTTTTGCTGAAAAACCACTTTTCTTTTTTTTGAGGCTGGGAGACATTTTGCACTCTAAGCACTTTTCTCCATGGTGCAGGAAAATTAATTAACTATCCCCACGGTCACAGACTTAGCACTGGGCAGATTTTATAACACAGGGTGTTTCGGGTTTATATTCCATCGTAATCCCTTCTGTATGTTTTCCCCATCAGACGTAGGCTCCTATTTTCACGGTATTACGTTTCTACCCTGATCTGACAAGAGCTTGTGCATGGCGCGGGCTCTCCTCACACTCGCTAACTGCCTTGAGATTTGCCTCCTGGGGTGATTCCAGGGGGGTGATTTCAGGGGGTGATTTCAGAGGGGTGATTTCTGGTGGGTGATTTCTGGGGGATGATTTCAGGGGGGATGATTTCAGGGGTATGATTTCTGGGGGGACAATTTCAGGGGGATGATTTCAGAGGGTCTGGGGGGACAATTCAGAGGGGTGACTTCTGGGGGGATGATTTCAGCGGGGTGCTTTCGGGAGGACAATCTCCGGGGGGAGATTCCGGGGGGGCGAC